GGTATCATGATTATCGTCATTATTATTAGTATATTATTATCAATTAACACTATAGCAAAACCCCCTGAACCTGAAGTTAAGTGCGGCCAGTCTGAGATAACAGCTTATATTCCTAAATCGTACGTCAACAACATGTCTGTGAATAAGCTGCACCTACTCGACCCACGTTGCAAGGGTAATGATAACGACACTCATCTAATTATACAGTTTGCGTATGATTCATGTGGGACTTATATAAAGGTAAAATAGTAAGCAAGTATTTTTGTCTTGCATATAGTTTTCCTTTTCTTTTTACACAGTTTTTTTTTCTGTCCGCACTTTGGTCACTTTCCATGCTTGAATCTTTTCCAAACTTTGTCCAAACATAGACCATATACCAGAGATATGCGTGCCGGAGTGAGGTGTGGGTGTGATGACTAATTAAATGGATTTAAAGGCAAACACCCCACACCAGATATTTTAAAAACGGATCACCTGATTTGAATGAAACTTACTGGAGGGCTTAACCAAGCTACAAGAAAGACATTATTATGTTTTGGTGACGATATTTTTAAAAACATATAAATAGTTCGTCATGGTCCAATAATGAAATTATTAAATTTTGGTGACGATCCGGAGTAGGGTGTGAATATGAGGACCATTCAAAGGAAAACGTCCCAGACCAGATGTCCCAAAAACTGATCGACTGATCAGAATGAAATTTTCTGGAATCTTTAACATATTACAAGGAAGGAATTATTAAATCCTAGTGACGATCCAGATTCGGATGTGAATCCCATGGTCATTTAAATTGCTAAGGTCCCAGACCTAAATATATCTAAAAGATATAACTGGATCTAAATGAAACTTTCCAGAATAATTTTTCATGGACCAATGAAGAAATGATTAAATTTTGGTGACAATCTGGAGTAGGGTGTGGATATGAGGACCAATTAAACATTTTATGAGACGGGTGATTAAACCATATAAACGCAATTTTTGTTTTCTAAAGCGCTTAAAACAGTTTCAGCTATGTTAAACGCAAAATATGGTGATATGCATGAACAAATTTCGCTTTCAATCACTGAATTAATATTATGATCTAAAGATGCACTGACCTACGCAGGGTCGGCTCACATAGCGCGCAATGGTTATGAGTCTTATCCCGGTATTCTTAACTTTAGTCGAACTTCGAGCTAAAACTTCAAAATTACGTTATTTTATATTCTTAAAACGAACTTTGACTAGCACTACGACTGACGCCCGTATTCTTAAAACAAACTTTAGTTAAACTTCGAACTAGAACTTCATTTAGTGCTATTTGCACTTCAATTTGTATTCACAAACAATGTAGTCGAAGTTTTAACTACGACTAAATCAAGTCCTAGTTTTAGTTCAACTGAAGACGACTGGCAAGCCACGACTATCAAACTAACCAATGAAAAGGGCTAACTATAAGAAGACGAAATTTTAGAGATCCGGTAACGCGGATGAATATTAAGCTGCCGTCTGTGGTTCAAAAACGTATTTCCTCATAATTCATAATAGACCATCATTCCCTTAATTAATTGTCTATAATAATAACTATGTTAGTTGTTAACATATTACAATAGAGAATTTGAACAGACACTGAAAATTTGCTTTCTTTGGAGAACTATTATAGTTGAGCCCGAGCGAGGGCGGTGCCATCTTTGTTGTTGTATACAATCGTTTTTATTCGTTTCACTTTATCGTGAGTTACAAAAAACACGTTTTTAGTGAGGTAAATATTTCAAGTCGGCCTGCGGAGGTATCATTTTAGTCGAGGTTCACGTCATTTAGTCGTAGTGCTAGTCGAAGTTCGTTTTAAGAATAAGTTTTAGCTCGAACTACGACTAAAGTTCGTTTTAAGAATACCGGGTGAAATCACGCGAACTTCGACTAAAATTATACCCCCTCAGGCCCATTTTTTTTAGTCAGCCTAGGGTCAGGCTATATAATATATAATAATATTTACCCCAGTAAAACGTGCTTTTTGTAACTTACAATAAAGTGAAATGAATAAAAACGATTGTATAAGTAGGGCTGATATCTCCAGTGAGTTCAAGAAAAGGGACATTACGTTTACCTTCCAAAAGGCGAAATTAACATGTTTTGCTAGTAACAATCATGCAACAGTTCCTCCCCGGTATTCTTAAAACGAACTTTAGTCGTAACAACTATAGTTATTATTATAAAAAATTAATCAAGCGAATGATGATCTATTATGAAGTATGAGGAAATACGTTTTTGAACCACAGACGGCAGCTTAATATTCATCCGCATTACCGGATCTCTAAAATTTCGTCTGCTATTAAAATTAGCTCTTTTCATTGGTTAGTTTGATAGTTGTTGCTTGCCAGCCGTCTTCAGTTGAACTAAAACTAGGACTTGATTTAGTCGTAGTTAGAACTTCGACTACATTGTTTGTAAATACAAATATAAGTTGAAGTTGCAACTAAGACTAAATGAAGCTCTAGTTCGAAGTTCGACTAAAGTTCGTTTTAAGAATACGGACGTCAATGTCACCCTTGCTTGCTATTATCATTGTAACGTCGCGTTAGTATCCCTGTTTTTTTTTTTGTTTTTTTTTATTGGCTTTTGGCGTGAACAGAAATAGTCGTTATTGTTCTAATTTATTTTTCTTCCTTTATCCTGTTTTTCTATTTTTTGCACAGAGTTTTTCTGACCGGCACTTTGGCCACTTTCCGTACTTGAATCTTCTTCAAGCATTGTCCAAGCAAAGACCATATTCAAGATGTACATATATGATGGCATTCTATTTTGAATATTAATAGCAGTCATAGTTCAGGTTTCCATGACGTCGAGTTAGTTTTCATGTTTTTTAACTTGATTTAACATGATTTTCTTCATAATTTTATGTATGATTTAATTTTTGTTTTCACTTTTTATTATGGCAATAAGGAAAATCCCTATGTATGCGAGTCAGGTGACACCGTCCATTTACAGTATCCTCAACAGTTACACTGAAGCAGACTCAAGCGCCCTGAGCATCTTACATTAGATGGATTTGTGCGCTGTATAAAACTACACTATTATTATCATTATTATTATTATTATTATTATTATTATTATTATTATTATTATTATTATTATTATTATTTATTGAACTTTTCGCCTTCCCGGAATTATGTGATTAAAACTTTCTTTTTTTTCATTAAACCAGTATCGTTGTTTTGCTGAACTTGTAAAACTCTAGTTTCGTGTTGATTATTGTAATGTTTTTATTTTCGTTTATACATCTGGGTCTACTATAATGTAATTTTGTATTACAGAAAAAATCCTCTGACCTTACTCGCTTTATCAATATCTTAAGAGATGACCCGGAGCCGTATAAAACAAGTAGTTTAATCACTCGTGCACAGAGGCAGGTCAACATGCGGATTATCTGTGACGTCGAAGGTGTCGGAATTGCCAATGTGTTTATAGATCCCAATACGTCGGTAGCATCAAGTACGTTCAAAGGTAAAACTATATTAGAAGCCAACCTCGAGCTGTACGAAGACAGGACTTACAGTACGTTGGTTCCATACGGCACTGCAAAGGAAGTCATGTTCTCGGAACGGCTGTTCTTCGCTGCTCGAGCACGAGACAGCAGTAAAGAGATTGCCATTGAAAGTTGCAGAGCAACGTCAAAGTATAAGACGTGTTCTAAATTTGACAAGAAGTATGAATTCATCAGCAACGGGTAAGTGACGAATCAATTCCTAAGTGTTGTAATAGTGTATTATACGACATCACTGTTATACGTTTATTCTCCCCACCCCTCCCCCATTACTGTGTTAAGTTATAGACATAACAGTTCGTTAATCTATATAGTACAGGCCCCCCATATGTTCATCCCGGGCAGAAAAATGGTCTTTAATTGGAGAGGTCTTCAATTAGAGGGAGACATGTACTTATGTACAACAATTGAAAAAAAAAATTTATATATAAATTTTGACACCCGACATAAAAAAATTGCTGCTGGATTGTTGGTACTTATGGTTGGTATGAGAATTAATTAAAGGGTAGTGGCTATTGCTACACGAGCGTTGAGCAAATTCCTAACTGATTGGATGTTATTGGCTTGATCTAATTCATACACGCAATAACATCC